TTTATGTTAGAGGTTAGGGTTATGGTTTATACAGCTTATATGTGAAAAATACATTTAGGACATAAATACCCCTGTTGTGTTGCTTTATAAAAACAGAACGTTTTAACTTTAGAAATAATGAATAAACCACTGTTCTTGAAAAAATGAAACATAAACTGCAGCACATTTGAGGAAGGAACATTTTTAACAGTTATTGCCATGTATTATGTTACTTATTGGATATTTTCTAGGTCTTTATTGCCTCACACATTGTTTTCTAGGTTTTATTTTCTACTGTTGGTTAATTTTCATAAAGAGTTTATACGCATTGTGTTTACATACAGTTTGATGTTAGAAATTAATTTGAATCTGTATGAAACTGACAACTAGCTCACATAGAGAACTCTCTATAGCAGTAGATGTTTTTTTTCTGTTGTCATGATCCTAAATCGTCATTGTTTGAATCATGTAGGAAAAACCACCTTCGTGAAGAGACATTTAACTGGAGAATTCGAGAAGAAATATGAACGTAAGTAATCATAAAAGTGCATTCTCTTATCTATCAAAGTTTTTCATTTCAACTCTAGTAATTAATAATTTTTTTCTTTCATATAGCAACCATTGGTGTTGAAGTTCACCCCTTGGATTTCTTCACTAATTGTGGAAAGATTCGATTTTACTGCTGGGACACAGCCGGACAGGAGAAATTTGGTGGTCTTCGTGATGGTTATTAGTAAGTATCTAATCTGCCATTCTTTATGTATATCAAATGTCTAAAATGCCCTTTATTAACTATGACAATAAGCTTATTTACTAACATATTTGTATGATGTTTCAGCATTCATGGTCAATGTGCCATCATCATGTTTGATGTAACTGCAAGGTTAACTTACAAGAATGTTCCCACATGGCATCGTGATCTTTGCCGGTTAGTTTTGTGATAATTTTTTCTTGCATCTTTATTGTTTCTTGATGTATTGTTATATGGATGTTTATAGTGTTTGTGAGAATATCCCAATTGTGCTATGTGGAAACAAAGTTGATGTGAAGAATCGTCAAGTGAAAGCAAAACAAGTTACTTTTCACAGAAAGAAAAACTTGCAGTATTATGAAATCTCAGCCAAGAGTAATTACAACTTTGAGAAGCCTTTCCTTTACCTGGCTAGGAAACTTGCTGGGTAATGCATACTCATTTGCTACTTTGAATCTGTTTGACTATATTTTTAAGTAAAAAATGTTGCATGTTTTGATATAATCTTAAAATGTTGTTTTTAGTGACCCCAACTTGCATTTTGTTGAGTCTCCTGCTCTAGCTCCACCAGAAGTGCAAATTGACATTGCTGCTCAACAACAGTAAGACTTTGTTTCTTATTTATTTATTTATTAAGTTCTTTCTGAATAAGTTGTGTTTGGTGTGGAATGAGTGAGGAATGATGTTTTGAAACTTGGTTTTTGCAGGCATGAGGCAGAGCTTGCTGCAGCTGCAAGCCAGCCACTTCCAGATGATGATGATGATGCTTTTGAATAGAGAAGAGAGTCTATAAAATTCGAATGCTTTTGTTGAATTTGAAAAGGGTTTTGTGTTGTGGATTTTTGGATTATTGAGTATTATGATATGATGATATGATGATGTCTGAATGGTTTAAACAACTTTTGGTAGGAGATGATTTGTTTGTGAGAAGAATATGAATATTTTCTGTTGTGAAGCAATGTGCGGGTGTTGAGTTTTTTTCGGCTCCCAATTACTTCAAAATGTGTGGTATTGTTTGATTTGTTCATGCCATTAGTTTTTCTGTGTTCGTAGGACCTTGTTCAATCTGGTCAGCACTTGTTTTTGGAATGACAGACCCCAAGTCTTCTGTCATCAAACTACTTTTAAAGAAGTCAAAATTTCATTGTTTATGGTGTAACAGTTGGATGTTCAGATTTTTACTAAAAACCGCACAACAGAGTTTGTAGCACATTGAACGTGTGAGTATTATAGGGAAAATGACTTAAAAAGGCAATGAAGTTTCAAAAATGTACAAAAAAGACCATTGTTTTTTTTTTTAGTAAACAAAATACCATAAAGTATATTTTTTATACATAAAATACCAATGAAGTATACATGTGTTCAAATAAAGTCTTGTGGGTAACCTGTTACTGCAGGTAACAGAAAAATGTCTTAAAAAGGTAACAAAGTTTCAAATTTGTTCATAAAATACAATTATTTTTTTAGTATAAAAAATACCATTGAAATTTTCAAAATGTTAAAAAAAAAACATTGTTGTTTTTCAGAGCATCTTTTGTTAACTTCGTTGTTTCTGGATTATATAGAACATAGTCGTCGGAGATTAGTCATCGTCGTACCAGTTCACACCAGTTGTGTACTATCTTTCATCCCATCACTCAATCAGTTTGTATTTAAATCCATATTTAGGAATTCTCATGACATAACGTCACACTCGTTTCTCCTTTGTGTCTCTCTTGTGCCGCAACACTAATGAACGGCTAACCTTGATGTATAATATGTGCATCTATATAACGTATATATGTTTTAGGTTTGAGTCATATAATGTGATCGGGAAGCAAGAATGTTTAACTAATGTTATTACCCATTTACTTCTCTTGTTACCACAAGAACGATCGAGTGAAGGAATGAAAGAGATTTGTACAATTGTTGTGAACTGATATGACGGTTCATGATCCCATGTAATTGTGTTCTATATAATCCGACAACAACACAGTTAATAAAAAGTGTGATATTTTTTAAACATTTTGGAACTTCGTTACACTTTTAAGTCGTTTTCTCATTTACCCGAAGTACCTGGTTACTACAATGTTTTAGTTGAATATATGTGTACTTCGTTGGTATTCTGTGTACAAATAGTAACATTAATGATATTTTTTGTACTAAAAAAACAACAATGATATTTTTTGAACACTTGGAAACCGGGTAACCTACAATAGCCGGTAAAATGGTATTTTGTGTACTAAAAAAACAATGGTCTTTTTTGTACATTTTTAAAACTTCGTTACCTTTTTAAGTCATTTTCCCAGTATTATATTGTTTATGTGTATGACATTCTGGAGTAACCAAGTAGTAGGGTTAAGGGCATCACTAACATATTATTATTCACTTTTAGAACCAAAGTTTACACAAATGCTTTAACCCCATATTAAACCTAACTATTATGTAATGTTATTGAATAGTACAATATTAAATATAATATAATATTCATCAACATTATATTTTATATTATAAAAATTGGATAAAATAGGATATACCTAGAATATTAATGAGCTGGAGAGAATTAAGTGTTTGCATTGTCTTTTACGCTAAGTTCAATGTAAAAAATAATGTTAAGGTTGAAGATGGTCTAAGATAAATGTAAAAGATAATACTAAAGATTGAAGATGGTCTAACGGCATGATACATGAGGTTGAATATTTTGATTTGTTACAACAAAAGCAAGTCATTTTCTGAAGAGTGCAAGTAAGGTAGGATGTAAGGGTTGATGGTGTCCGTCCCTCCCAACCCGCTTAGCCTATCACATCATTCATCACTCTTTTGTCATTTCCTTCTAATATGGTACAAATGGCTAAGAAGAAAATAATAGAGGGGAAAGATTGAGGAATGACAATTTACATTTTGATATAAGGCTGATGGGAGTGGAGTTGCTACGCACCATCGCTAGAAGCTCGTTAGGAAAAGGAACACCGCCCCCTAGCTATCACTAGGGGGCTTGCTACGAAAGACTCGCTAAGCCCTTAACGAGAGGAGAGAGAGAGATCGTGGAAGACTTGAATGTGATTAGTTAGTTTACATTTGACCGGATCCTGATTGGTTGTGACTATTTTTTTTTTTCAAAATAGAATTTATTAAACTCCTTCCACTACCACTCCCTATAGTTTTCAATCTATACATGCTAAGATTATGTAACAATAAAAAAACCTGTGTCAATGTGTTAGGATAGCTACCACTTCTTCCGGCCTAAATGAATATGCATATGTCACAAGTGGGTAAGAAGAAAAGAAAGGTTGAGAAACTGCTTACTTAACAAGTGAACTTACCCATTTAAGCGGTGCCGATGCCGGTCGGAACGGTGTAGCCGACGCTATCGTTGCGACCCTAGCTGGCTAGCTCATACTTATAATTTGTCACATTTTCTGGTTTAACCACCAATTTTTGTCACATTTTCTGGTTTAACTACCAATTTTTCATAAGTTCCGAAGAAACCACCAATTTTTAGTAAAATGTTTCAGCACGACCACTTTATCTAATAGAACCTATTTTAGATACGAAAAAAACACTATATTTTTCTAAAAGTTCGGTTTAACCACCAATTTATGGGTGGTTAAACCGAACTTTTGATAAAATATAGTGTTTTTTTCGTACTTAAAATAGGTTTTAATAGGTAATAGTGGCCACGCTGAAACATTTTATCAAAAATTGGTGGTTTTTTCGTAATTTTTTAAAAATTGATGGTTAAACCGAACTTTTGAAAAAATATAAGCTTTTTTCGTCATTTTCCCTAATTTTAACTGTATTTGCGTGTTTTTTCTATTATTTTTTTTAAGCACAACATGTTTAAATTAATAGAACAAAAGATACCACACTTTAAGCACAAAATACAATTCCTCTTAAAAAACTCGAAACACCCCCTTCTGCTGCTCCCCCACCAGTCCACGACCTAACACAACCGTTACTGCAACTCTCCCTCCGCCGTTCTACACAAGGAACTAACTAACCACCACCTCCCAGAGTATAAATCCAGACCGCTCACGCCACCACCGGCATAGAGAACCCATCATCTCCCTCCCTCTCTCTCTCTCTATCTCTCTCTCTCTCTCTCATTGTGTCGAGATATAGAAACAGTAAAGCGCACCACCATCGCAACTTCTCTCTCTGTTCAGATACTACCGCCGCTGTCACCAGACGATTGAAGCTTGGTTTGCAATGAAAACCCAGATCGACTGAAGCTTGGAAAGGAACGAAAATCCAGACCTTTTTAACGGAAATGGACAATATATACTGATGAATGCCTAACGGTCACCGCGCTAAAGAATTACTTCATATGTTCAAGCCACTCAACATCTCTCAGCTTTGCTTTGCAAGTTTCGTTGTCCCGTTTTTCCCCAAACAATACTCTACCCATACACACACCGTTGCCAAACCCTTGACTACTTCTGTGAAAAGAACATTCTCCCACATATACCAACAATGTTCAGATCGAAAGGACCTTCGTCATGGAAAAGAAGCGCATGCTCATATGATTGTATCTGGGTTCGAACCCACTGTCTTCGTTACGAATTGTTTAATCCAAATGTACTTAAAGTGTTCCAACATGGAGTATGCTCACAGAGTGTTCGATAGAATGCCTCAAGGAGACACGGTTTCTTGGAACGCTATGATTTTCGGGTATGCAGGTATCGGGCTATTAAATATTGCTCAAGAGATGTTTGATTTAATGCCCGAGAGAGATGTGGTTTCGTGGAATACATTAATTTCAGGGTACTTACATAATGGAAGTTATTGGAAATCCCTTGAAATTTTCACGCGTATCCGAAGGGAGGGTGTGGGGTTGGATGCGACTACATTTGCTGTGGTTCTGAAGGCCAGTTTGGGTTTGGAGGATTATAGTTTAGGTGTTCAGATTCATGGACTTTTAATTCGTACGGGATTTGTTCATGATGTGGTGGCTGCAAGTGCAACTGTAGATATGTATGCAAAATGTAAGAAACTGAAGGAATCCATAACCTTTTTCGAAGAAATGCCTGTGAAAAATTGGGTTTCATGGAGTGCTTTGATTGCTGGTTGTGTTCAAAACGATGAGTTTTTAAGTGGCTTAAAACTATTCAAGAATATGCAAAAAGAAGGATTAGGAATTAGCCAATCAACTTATGCAAGCCTTTTCAGATCATGTGCATGCTTATCTGCTTTACAGTTTGGTTCTCAATTGCATGCTCATTCATTAAAGATGGACTTTGGTTCTGATACCATAGTAGGAACTGCAACTTTAGACATGTATGCAAAATGTGGCCAATTATCTGATTCCAAAAAACTATTTCACACCTTATCAACCCATAATTTACAATCATACAACGCGATTATCACAGGTTGTGTTCGTGTTAATCAAGGATTTGAAGCATTGCAGCTGTTTCATACTCTGAGAAACACTGATCTTGGTTTTGATGACATTAGTTTATCTGGTGCTTTTAGCGCATGTGCTGTAATCAAAGCGTATACTTTCGGACTACAATTACACGGGTTAACAATCAAAAGCAAGTTCCTATCAAACGTTTGTGTACAAAATGCGATTCTTGACATGTATGGAAAGTGTGGAGCTTTAGCTGATGCACGCCAAGTGTTTGATGAAATGCCAACACGAGATGCAGTCTCATGGAACACAATCATTGCTGCTTATGAACAAAACGGAAACGTACATGAAACTCTTCAACTTCTTGTTCAAATGCTAAGTTCACGTTTTGAACCCGATGAATTCACTTTTGGTAGTGTCTTAAAAGGTTGTTCTAGTCTGAAAACTTTAAACCATGGAATGGAAGTTCATTGTAGAATTGTAAAATCAGGAATGAGTTTTGAATCTTTTGTTGGAAGTGCTCTAGTGGACATGTATTCCAAATGTGGAAACATTGAAGATGCAAAGAAACTCCATGAAAGAATGGAAGAACAAACTATGGTGTCATGGAATGCAATAATTTCAGGGTTCTCAACACAAGAACAAAGCGAAGAATCCCAAAGATTCTTTTCAAAAATGTTGGAATCGGGAACCAAACCTGACAACTTCACATTCGCGACAGTTCTCGACACGTGTGCGAATCTTGCAACCATCAATCTAGGAACACAAATACACGCACAAATCATCAAACAAGAAATGCAATCCGATGTGTTCATTTCAAGCACTCTTGTGGACATGTACTCAAAATGTGGCAACATGCAAGATTCAAGGTTGATGTTTGAGAAAACCCTAAATAAAGATTTTGTCACATGGAACGCGATGATTTGTGGGTATTCTCAACACGGGCTTGGAGAGGAAGCTTTAAGTGTTTTCGAGTCAATGAAAGTCAACAATGTGAAGCCAAACCATGCGACTTTTGTTTCGGTTCTTCGTGCGTGTGCTCATGTGGGGTTAGTTGAAAAGGGGTTGAGTTACTTTAACTCGATGGCTACTAACTACGGTTTGGAACCTCAGTTAGAACATTACTCATGTATGGTTGATATATTGGGGAGGGCGGGGAAAGTGAAGGAGGCGTTGAAGGTTATAAATGATATGCCTATGGAGGCGGATGATGTTATTTGGAGGACTTTACTTGGAATTTGTAAGTTACAAAGGAATGTGGAGGTGGGTGAGTTGGCGGCGAGTTGGCTTGTGAAGTGGGACCCGCAAGATTCGAGTGCGTATGTACTTTTAGGGAATATTTATGCGGATGTTGGGATGTGGGAAGAGGTGTCGAAGGTAAGGAAAAAGATGAGGTGTGGTGGATTAAAGAAAGAACCGGGGTGTAGTTGGATTGAGGTGAAGTCGGAGTTGCATATGTTTGTTATTGGGGATAATGCTCATCCTAGATGTAAACAGATTTATGAGAAGTTGGATGGTTTAATAAGCGAGATGAGATGGTTAGATGATGATGATCCCTTTGAGGGGTGGATGGGAGTATAAAAGTTTGGAGGAAACGCCGAATGAATGAAAAGAGTGTATGGGTTGGGTAAGAAGAAAGGAGCATCTGACGTGGAGATGATGAAGATGAATACATTATTTAGGGGTATTTACAGATTTTGTTTTTTAATTCCATTTTATGTTATATCCCTGACTGAGTTGATTGAGAAACACAACACAAAATGATAGTGGTGAAGATGAATTCTATGATCCAACAAGAAAGAATTGAAACCATCATAATAGAAAGGCAATCAATCAATTGAAACAGCTGATTCTTTTTTAGATAAAAAAAGGATGCAATTGATGAACAAATCGAAGAACAAAAGAAGCTAGTTGAGTTCTTGATGAAAAGAACGGAGTGATTGCTGAAGTTTGATGTTAAAAATCTTGATTACGGGATGAAAAATGTTTAAGAAATTTAGGTTAGAACCCAATCCGTAATTTTTATATAAGCATAGGGACGAAAAAAATGTACTTTACCAAAGCTTATGAAATACAAGCTTTTGTCTTATTTCTCATTATAAATCCAAAATTTGAATAATATAATAAGATTAACATATATTAAGTACAAAATTATGTGATTGGTCTGCCAAAAGATGTAGATTCACACAACAAACATGATGTTGTCTATCAAAGTCTTATTCACTCGGAAGATAGGAGACTCAACAACTGAATGAATAAGTAGAGATTAGACCTAAATTAGCAAGGGAAGCTCTGTACTAGTCAAAGAACAACAGATGAAGATGATTAACAGAAAATACAGAATGTAATAGTAAATATACTTGTTACAATAGTAGTTGGAGCATGGTGGAAGAGACCCACACCACACTGTTATTAATTTACACCTCTACGTAGCAGTAGAATCCACATCCTGAGGTTTGTATCTCGGATGTAAAGCCACACAACTGAAGAAGCTCTCTTGACCCATAAATGCGCACACCTTTCAACAAAAGAATGCTCTGTGGAAGATAACTTATGGATGTACCTTCTATATCCAACTCTTTTAGACATTCTAAATGTCCAATTCCCTCGGGCAATTTTGCAACTTGAATACAATAGCGGAGATTGAGATATTTTAGACGTTTCATCTTACAGATTTTGTTGGGGAGATTTCGTAAATGTTTACACTTGGTGACTAATAAATCGTGTAAACATTCTAATCGGTCAATATCCTCAGGTAACTTCTCAAGCTCACAAGATATAAGTTGGAGAATTTTCAGATGTTTCAATGTGTAGATGCTATCTGGAAAATGCTTAATCTTTGTATCTAACAAAGTTAGCCTCTCAAGCAAAGAACAATGATTAAGGTTTAAATACTGCAGATTTGGAGTAAGCCAGAGGCAAAGGGACCTCATCTTTGAATGACTGATGGTAAGGGATGCAAGCTTTTGACATCCATCATCGGCCATGTGAAGTTGTTCCAAATCATAACAGAATGTGAGACATAAATCCTTGAGATTGGGAGTCAACCCAAGGTCAAGGGTCCTCAACTTTGAATTAGTGAGTTGGAGGGATCTGAGATTAACACATCTATCTGGCATATGAACTTCTACCAAATCCTTGCAAATATCAAGATCTAACACCTCAAGATTTGGAGTCGACCGAAAGTCAAGGGTCCTCAACTTTGAATCACTGAGGTAGAAGGATCTCAGCTTTAGACATGCAACAGACATGTGAAGTTCTACCAAAATATGACATCCTTCAAGAGTCAATTTCTCTAGATTTGGAGTCAGTTCAAGGTCAAGGGTCTTTAGGTCTGAATAATCAAGGTTAAGGAATCTGAGCTTGTTCAGAACCTAACATAAACAAAGAACAAAGATAATTAACAACAAAGTAAAGCAATGGATGCATGTCATTATAATGAATTAATCATGTGAAAAAAAAAATCAATGAACATTAATTAGTACCTTTCTTTCTCCCCCTTCCCAAAGTTGTACGATTCTGCTGTAAGGCATACTTAGTGCAACAAGATTATTTGGTTGAAATGTTTTGGGTAAAGACTTAAAAGGGTACAAGCTCCAACGCAAATATCGCAAAGCATCCGGAAGGTATAGTATGATATCTTTAAACTCCCAGAAAAAAATTCCCAAAAACATGTCAAGAAATCCAAGTGCCTGCATCTTTCTAAGACCTTTAATCATACGAATTTCCGGATTGATTTTATGTGTGGAGTATCGTATGCATCTTGTTGCTTTGGTACCCTGTAATCCAAAACCAGTTACCATGAAAATTGTGTTAATTATAACAAATAAAAATGTGTTCGTTTTTTAGTTTTCTCCAACTTACAAATAAATTTTATCCTTACCAAGTCATTAGCCAATATATCTTCAATTTCTTCTTCAATCCACAATCGGCTGTGTTTTTTGGGCTTATCGGGGTGCAAACGACGAACAATATTCCTACCCAGTTCTCTAATATGGTCATGCATGCCCACATGCTTATCACCAATGGTTATGAGAGATCTTTGCTCAAGAACTCTTAAACCATTTCTAGCGTAAAATCCACAGCTTTCAAGTGCTTCTAGTGCCAAATATTTTGGCTCACCTTGCAGCAAGCATGCAACATCCAAGAATATTTGTTTGTAATCCTCCTCTAGACCAATATAGCTTAATTCCAACTTTTTCATAGTTTTCATTAATGGAATTGTTTTTAGCCTTTCTATGGCATCCATCCATTCAAGCTCATTTTTACCACAAAGAAACGAACCCAAAACTCTTATTGTTAAGGGAAGACCACCAGCATAACGTATGACTTGTTTTGATAGTCGTGTATACCTTTCAATTGGAATCACTCTCCCAAATGCATACCTATTGAAGAGGCAAATTCCTTCTGTATCGGATAACAGTTTGACATTACAAATCAACTTCACTCCGTGTGCTACAAGCACTTGCTCATCTCTTGTTGTAAAGATAACTGCACTTCCCGGTTTAAACCAATTCGACTCACCGGCTAATGCCTCAAGCTGGTCTATATGGTCCACATCATCTAGAACAACAAGAACCTTTCTACTACGCATCACCCTCTTGATCATGTTTTTCCCATCATGAACACTACTTACCCTGACACCTTTTTCATTTAAGACATCTGACAGGAATTGATTTTGTAACGATTTCAAGCCCGACATGGATGCCTTTGAAACTTCCCTAACATTCTCAACGAAGCTTTTACCTTGAAACTGATTAGATATTTGATCAAAAACCGCTCTGGCCAAAGTCGTCTTCCCACCACCTCCCATCCCCTTGATACCGATCATGCCAACATCATCATCAAAACCACTTCTTAGGCTGGTGGGTATGGGTGCCACATCATCTTCTTCTCTTCATAACATATCAATAAACATCAAAAGGAAATGGTGTTTCTTATTTGAAACGACGTTGAGAAGAAGCAAATCAGGAAAAAAGCAGAGGAATAACATGCGATTCATCCCGTTACCACCATCACGCCCGGTGGCATAACACCCGATAACGGCTGGCTGGGGCTGTGTTCCTGCCGCCATGGCGCCGTTAAGGGCCTGCCACATAAGCATAACGGCCGGTGGCGTTGCCCGCTCCGTATGGTCTTAAAGATGATACCACATAATTGACCCGTGTCTCCATGCCTACTAATTTTTCGTCAATGTCAGAATTGATGGACCGTAGTTCTAATGAAAGCTCTTCAACAATTTTTTGGATAAATTTAGCTTCATGCCTGTATTTTAAAGAAACCCCAGTCATTAAATTAATCACTTTCCATGTTCAATCTTTCGCAAGCGAGAGTTTGAGTTAGAATTTGATGATAATAGATACAATATGAGATTCCATTGATGAAGGAATTACCCATCAGCAGTGTTCTTCAACTCCCACCCGGCCAGATCCGCAGCTTCTTTAAGAGCCTCTCTCCATTTTCCAGCAGCCTCTTCGTTTCCATGTTTGGCAAAGGCTTCTCCAACTGCTCCACTCTGTTTGCGGACTTCTGAGGGTTCCACGTCATAGAAGACAGGGTAAGCTGTATGCTCGGTTGTCTTCTGACACTCTATTATCTTCAACAGCTCATCCAAGCACCAAGACGAAGATGCATAGTTCTTGGAGAATACAATGCTGTAGAATTTTGAGTCTTCAATAGATCCCAAGAGCTCATCACTGATCCTTTCCCCTTTCTTGATTCTCTCGTCGTCCTTGTAAGTGTAAATGCTTTTCTGCTGAAGAGCATAATAAAGATGATCGATGAAGTTGCTGCGTGTGTCTTCACCTCTGAAGTTCAAAAACACATCATACTTAAAGCTCTTGTGAATCGATGAATTTGAAGAAGACGCCATATATTGAAGTTATGCTTGAAGGATCTTAAATATCAAACCATTGTTGGGGAAAATTTACACACTGATCAATTGCTAAGAAACTTGATGAAATGGATCAACTATCAACCCTCAAGACTCAAGAGTGACCGATCATGTGATGCGCTTGCATGGAAAAACTTTGGAGTTTGGTGAAAAACAAAAGCGGCTTGTTTGGTCAAAGGAGAAGATAAGATTCTTATTTGGAAAAAAAAATGCAATTAAGATGCCTTTTCTTTTATATGCTGTACTGTGTTTCACTTCATTGACTCCTGATTAAGTGTGTGTGTGTGTTTTTTTTTTTCTTTTTTTTTTTTTGACATTTTTCAGGAATGATGTTCACTTACGACGGAAAGCTTATTACCGTGGTTAAAAAGTCATCCACTAATTTTTCAAACCATTTGTACTCCAAGAACAAGCATTTGTACTCATTTCATGGTCTTTTGTTATTAAAAATTTCATTCTCTATTAATGATTGTTAGCAGAGTCATAAAAAAAACTGACATTTTGTATTTTTTTTTCTTTTTTTGCGCTGGCGTGCGTGTGTGTGTGTGTGTATATATATATATATATATATATATATATATATATATATATTATTGAGTTAAAAGTTTTCAATTTTAGCCATTCTCACAACGTGAGGAATGCTTGTCACGTTGTGAGGAGTAGTTTGGACCCGCGCATCATTTTGAGGCTCACGACGTGAGAGCAGTCTGAGGACCAAAAACCCTAATTTTCGGTATTTAAAGGAAAAAGGGGGCTAGGGTTGTCCACCCTATGCCTCCCTCACACTCTAAGGCCTAGAGAACCTTGAGTTTTATCATCCTTGAAGTTCTTAGCCAATTTGGTGCCAATTCTAGCTTGAAGAAGGAGAGAAGAAGAGGAAAGGAGTAATCTAGTGGTGGAGTGGACAAAGTAGCAACATTATCATCACCTCTTCTTGCTTTTGGACCTTTGTAAGTATCAAAGATCCAAACTTTATTACATTTCATGGATAAATCTAGGATTTTGTCCACCTTTCTTCATGTTTAGCATGCTTGAGTGAAGTAAATCCATGAAGTTAACAACTTTATGGATTCTAAGAGTTCCTTGACCATTATATTGTTTAGATCTGGAAGTTGGTGAGGTATAAGAGGCATGCATGAGAGTTTGAAGCATATTTCTTCACTTTTGACCTAGAATGGGTTGGGTCATGCATGGTGCAAGCATGACCATAAAGGAAACATTTTATGGACTTTAGGAGTCCCCTTTAACTTTTGGATGAGATGGATTCGAGGACTTAAAGGAATAAGGACTTAAAATGGTGACTTTTAGCTTCAGACGGTGCTCACTACGTGAGACATAAGATCTCACAACGTGAGATTTGAATAACCCCCGTTTTCTGTTAAGATCCTTGGAGCTCACGACGTAAGAGTGGGTGCTCATGTCGTGATGTCAGCTCAGATGATTTCTTTGACTGAGTTGGCTAGATTGGGTCGATTCGAGTTGGAATCGGACCGAGTGGACTATCACGACGTGACCAAGGTTTGGTCTCAACGTGAGGATGGATATTTGACATTAAGGGCTGTTGACTTTGACCATGATTTTGACTAAGTTTGACCTAAGGGTATTTTGGATTGTGTTTGAGAATTGGTAACTTTTGATGGATAGGTGACGGGTAGAGCTGAGATTCGGAGCTGAGACCTTATCAACTATCGTTCAGACTGTGAGGTGAGTTTCCTCACTGTTCTTGTGGGTCGAAGGCACCAATGCCGACCCATTTAATTATGTATCCTGGTATACAGGATGTTGCTATACAATAGTGATTTGTAAATCTGTCTGCTAGTCTGTTAACTGGTTATATGATTATCTGTTGCTAGATATATCTTATTTGTTATGTATATGTTGACATGGTATGGTGGGGTTGAGACTATACTGATGGGTTTTGAGCAAATCATCAATCCTATGGTGCACATGCAAAACCCTAAAGCCTTGGATCTAGGTTTCTCTATTGTACATGCAAATTATCCAAGGCTTACAAACCCTAATTCTAGCATATGAAAAACGAAAATGCTATCTAGACAAGTTTAGATGATTACCTTTCAAGAGTAGCAAGAATCTTCAATCTTCAAGAGCTTAGTATCACAAATGTAATACCTCTTATGGCTCACAAACACCAAAGCAAAAAGAATGATCTTGGAGAGAGAGGAGATGGAGGCACAAAATCGGCTCTAAGAACTCTAGGGTTTTCATTGGTAGCCGATTTCTGATGCCCTAGGGTTCCTTTTATAGGTGTGCTGCTAGGGTTTCAGTCAAAACCCTAATTGGATAGCTTATGCCTTAAGCAGTCCAAAGAACCTTCTGGAATAAGGCCTTGGACGAATTCAAGGTGGGCTTCCACCCTAATTTCGTCCACTCCTTGATCCATAGGGATCCACAGCCCAAAATCCAATTATCTTATAATTGCAATTCTAGTCCCCTAAGTTCAATTAATATCTTTTGATCACAAAATTAATTCTTAATTAATTCTTGACCAATATTAATTAATCAATATGATTTCTCTTTTAATATATTATTCTTATAATATATTAATAAACCATATTATCCTCTCTCTCCACTAATTATTTAATCAAGTTGCTCTGGTGAAGGCAACCCAAAAGGACCATGCTACTATCGGGTCAAGTACATACCAAATATAGTTATGGGATTAGACACATAATCCAACATATACTGCTTTGTGCTGTAAGTCAACAGATCGGGGCATTCCAACCGAAAGGTTGTGGGCCAGGGCATTCCAACTGGAAGGTTGTGGGCCGGGGTAATCCAACCAGGAGGTTGTGGACCCGTTATGTATTGGGCAAGCCAACCGAAAGGTTGTGGGCCGCATCATTCCAACCGAAAGGTTGTGGACCAGGGGTAATCCAACCAGGAGGTTATGGACCCGTTATCTGTTTGATTATATGTTTGTGTGGTGATACTTTGGGGGAACTCACTAATCTCTCTGGCTTACAATTTTAGTTTATGGTTTCAGGTTCCGAGGATCGTGGGAAGGCGAATGCGTGATCGAACACAACTTCCTGTTTTATGTATCTGGGTCTTGGGGAAAACTCTGATTTGAAATAACACTTTTGAAACAATGACTATTTTGTAAATAATGTTGATGAGTGGTTGATTTTGAAAATTTTAAATATATGGTGATTTGTGGAGTGTTACAATATATCCCTTCCATTTTGTGGTTGATGTGCACAAATCAATATGAGGATGTGGACCATGTTTTCTGTGCTTATGGGGTGTCATTGCAAACTTAGGATGTGGCGATGCTTTCCTTGCTTATGTCATGTCGTTACAAACTTGCACTCGGGTTGTCAAGTGGTGTGATGTGACGGCCCTGGCGTTTTCTTTCGATCATACAAGTTATTAGGTGGGTAGATGTGTTACCTATGGCTAAGTTAAAAAAAAGCGGTGGTAGAAACGATCATTGTCACAATGTGGGGAGCCATTTGGAACTATTAAGTGGCTTAAAGAAAGTTTGAAAACAACATATTTTTTTATAGCATAGTCACAAACTATTTTATTTTGTTTTCTTATAGATTTCGAAAATTTAAAACCATCGGTGTTTTTTGGTCACACAAAATCATCTTGGTTATTACTTCAAAATGTTTGTTGCTTCTTAGTTATTTGTTAGTTATAAAATTCAACCAATAAAAAATGATATGATATGGCATCTTGCTTTGATATTCAAACCTACCATTATCTTTTTAGTTCGTTAATAAGGTTGTTCATGAGGCTGGTGGGAGTGGTGGTAGTTTGGTAGATGATGCCGATATCCATATCATTTTGCCATAGAAAATGGATGGTGTACCACTTTGTCATGAGAGAGAGAGAGATGTCAAATGTGTCCGAAGAAGAAGAATAAAGCAAATGAAGCATGTCCAAAAGTAAACCAATCCCTCAGGCTGCTAAATAAAACACCATCGAATTTCAAAGTAACACGATCTAATGAGAGAGAGAAAAAGATTGACTAATTCCAACTCAACCAAACACCTTATGATGTCCTTATTCCCTTTATAAAGAGTGAGGTGTTTGCCATGCCAAATATGTTCAACCTTTGCTTTGCTGTGTCCGCTCCGTACAATATAAACAAATGAGATACATTTGTAAAAGTTAATTATTTCTATAACCGAGTAACTGGAATCATGATTAAAAAAAGGTTTTGCAAAAGGAATATATGCATAAAAGCACAACCAATTATACATGTATATGCAGAAAAACCCTTATATTATTTTTATGTTTAGAAAAACACTTATATTATTATTTACGTTTCAAATAAACAAAATTGCAAATTTTTAAAAGAAATGACCGATTAAAAATATGATAAGACATATATATCCTTTATATTTCTTTGATTGTATGCGAAAACATGTCAAAACTTACATTTATTTCCATTATTTTTGCTCGATTATATTATCCATAAGAAATTATACGATTAATTTTTTTCTCCTTAACTAATCGTCTTTTATCATAATTAACATCAATGTCATAATAAAAAACAAGAATATAAGCAACAAAAGATTTGTAGTCGTCAATTTCTCTTAAAAATTCATATTTTTGTCCTTTTTAAAATTTTAACCATTAATTTAAAGGTTTTCTAAACATAAAATAAAATTATATTAGAGTTTTTCTTGCTTATAAATATATATAAATAATTATGTTTTTGTGACTATATCTCTTTGCAAAATCCAAAAACATGTCTATAAATAACAAAATATACAAATCAAATGTAACGATCGGTCAATATCTCAAAGAAAAATAACGAAATGGGTGTTGTCTATCATCTACCAATCACAATGTTTTTTAGTCTAAATCCAAAGAAAATCAGCCAAATAGGATTACTCATCAACCAACATTCATCTATTTAACTTCTTATTCCCTTAAAAAAATATTATTATTTTGTTTTGGTTCATAGATCGATAACTTCTTAGGAGACATGAACATTGTTTGCTCACTTATGTGGTGTCATTAACTATATTATAGCAATCTATCTCGTTATCATTTAACCACGGCCTGCAAATCTTTAACACCATCTTCTTGACTTCTTCCAATTTGTCCATTTTCGAAAACCCTAGATTCTTCAAGATCCATTTTCTATAAGAACCCAACCCCATGATTCATCACAAAACTAGACTCCAACGACCCAACCACAGATCATGGCTAACTCAACATCACCTGTGCCGCCAGTCAGCGGTGGTGCTAAGGGAAGACGAAAGATGCCCAACTCAAGGGGCCACCCTAAATACGTAGGGGTACGACAGCGGCCGTCGGGGCGGTGGGTGGCGGAGATCAAGGACTCGTTACAGAAGGTCCGTTTATGGTTAGGGACATTCGACACTGCCGAGGACGCTGCCCGGGCGTATGACCAAGCTGCCCGAACTTTACGTGGAGATAACGCGCGTACCAATTTTGAGCTACCGAATTCAAACGATGTTCCGTGTGTGTCACTTGACACTGAGCCGTTTTCTTTTGAGGAGGCGTGTAGTTCAGACGGTGGCGATGAAGGTCTTCTTGGTGTGCTCAAGGCGAAGCTTAGCTCAAAACATACAAAAACGACTAATGTGATGTGTTTTAACACTACAAAAAAGAGAAAAGCATCGCCACCACCACCATCACCGCCTGATCAGGCGGTGAAGTGTGGCGGAGGCAAGGTGGTGGTTGATATTTTGCCGCCTGATCCAGATCGTGTTTGTGATGCAATTGAGGTCGCGGGTCCTAACCACTACGACGGGTTGATCCAACAATGCTATGAGCCGCTACCTCCAGCAACGGAGCCATGGTCTAGTGAAATTTCATGGGTGGCGAGTAACCAATCAAGTGGCTTGTTTGAGTCTAGTCTCATGGATTCCATGTGGCCGGTGGTTTCAACCGAGGCTAACCAGTTAATTGGAGCCGGGGTTTGGCCATTGGATCAACCGGTGGTGCAGTGTGAGTATGGATGGGATGGTGGTGGTTTGAGTCAATATTCCACTAATAGTGTTGCAATCAATGCTTCTAATTGGGATCCTTTCGTTTATGTAAATTCAGTTCTAGGTTGACACTTGACATGATATATATAGTTCTTTAATTAGATTAACAATTCTTTATCCTTGTATATTCTTCCAAATAGGATTGTGGGATATATAAGCAACAACTTGGATATATCAAAATTAATCCAATAAAAACGACAACTTCTAGTTTAGACAAAGACGACTTCACCTGCCTTCCTTAAAGCTAAAATAACATGAGATAAAAAAAAAAAAAAAAAAAAGGCTCTAACATATGTAGAATGCTTATCATTTCCAAAACCTTCACCTTCTTGGTTGTCTCTAGTTCTTGTCAAAACCTGTTTTCTCATTTTCCCTCTCAATTTGCTTCATGGATGACGTGTACTTCATTTTCCATTGTAGATGAGACCAACTTATCACAACAAGTTGTCCAGCAATGAATCATAAGTCGACTGATCATATCATTCTAGGCTTGTGAGTCGCTATCCGGATGGTGAACCTGAAACGACTTTACAATTTCACCATTTTTAAGTTTTTTTTTTTTTTTTTGGATTTTTGTAACACAGAAAGAGAAAAATGAGAGATTATTATTTACTAACATGAAACTGTTTATCGTTAAAGCTCGATCTTAGCTTCAACTCGCCTCTGTGAGTAATCATTTCATCCAATATCTCCGTGGAAGACAAATCATATTCACTATCATCCGAGTGTTCCTCATCAAACCCTTCAATTCTCTGTTCAAACACCTTCAAATAAATACTTATCCAACTTTCAAAAATTAATCATATTCCATTATAATTTACTTATTTTTTAAGTTTTTCATCCAAAATAACATAAAAAGAAAAAGGCAAATTGCAGGAAAAGATAACGGCGGTGTTCGTAGTTCTTACCTTGCGTGAAAGACTGCCATTGTTAGCGTGGGGCCCGATATATTCTTCATAAGCAGACGCGTCTAGTTCTTGAAGATGTTGATGAGGGAACAATTTGGGAAGAAGATGTTCTCTTATTGGAATCAGAAAAAAGAAGGGTAATGGAAACAATATACCACCTATTGGTATCCATGTGATCAGATAACAAATCAAGAAATACACAAGCTGGAGGAATGTGAACATCATTATGTATTTAAATGGCACTGATTCCACATATGAAGCATGAGGCCCTTCGTAAACCCTGACCCAAATACACCACAACACAATAAGTCGCAAATTAAATCAAATTTATAAAAAAACATTTATAATTGTTTTTAACTTACTTGAAACGGCGTCCAGAAGGGATGAAAAGGAGCAATAGTCTTTCCCAAAATTGGTTTCCGGGAAGGCTATCGATTGACATGTAGGCGAAGTATCCCCATAAAACAGAGGTAGGGATCTTCCGTATTGCAGGCATAGCGAAGACTGCGGACCCCACTAACAGGGATTGTAATAGATTTGTTACTCTTTGCTCATTCACACGAACTGGTATGTGATCTTCAATATGTTTATCAGGGTCGAATTTGACCTTGTTTTCGCCTCCATCTTCTTGATTCAGCACAACTTCCTTCAAGTCTTCCAACTCCTTCACTGCAGGACTCTGTAATGGAGAAATTTTTTTAAAATACGATGATTTTGAAAATTTGAAATTTAAAAATTGTAACTAAAGTACTTGTGGATGAGGATCCATTTGAACAAAAGCAGCATGCATTTTTCCATAGATTTCTAAGCTGCTTGCTTCCATTTTCATGCCTTCCTTTGCACACTTTACCATCTTCTTTTGCATAATCTGAAAAAACCAAACCATAAAGTACAACATTTTATTATTAATGAAAAAAAAAAAAACTTATAATTTGTTGAAAAAAGTTGTTTTATAATTGCATGGGTAACCTGTCTCTCAAGAGTTGCAAGACTCCTTGTGTGCATGGGTGATTGTGGAAGGACACCGTTTGATGGAGGGATACCAACCAGACCACAAATCAAAGTCTAATTTCACACATGTAATGGTTGTTGAAATGTAAATAATAATAATATATAAAATGAAGAAAAGGGAAAAAGGCATTAAGGGGATTAATATTTAATACCATGAATCCAAGTAACAATATGTCATAATGGTAAGCAGAAGGGTTTTTGAGATTGAATTCTTTCTGTTGTGCCATTTGTGCAGCTACACTATGGTCAAAAAAGTACAAGGCTGCTATCATCAGTGCTGGTATTATAGCAGTGAAAATATGAACTGCTGGAACCTTCACCATATCCTGAAATAACATTAATCTTTACTTTCTAATAAAGGTACAATCTACCTTCATTTCCTCACCCATAACAGCAACATATTTACATTTCTTTACCAATAATAGAAATGTACTTGTAATAATAGCAATATGTAACAAATAAAGTACAATTCCCATATTGGTAATGGAATATAAGTATGTTACTACTATGGTAGAAAACAAAGTTATTACCGGCAGTAAAAATTAAAAAATTACCTTAATGACTGTCCAATGGGACAAAGATCCAGGTTCCCAAGGAAGGGGACAAAAAAGGCGTCTAGGAACACCAGGAGGAACATCTCTAGGCTTGATATAAGATATTGCAGTCCACACTAACACCATTAGAGGAACCCCATAGTCTGCTATAAGACCACGTACCCACCCTGTTCTTACCAAAAATAAATTATAAAACATATTAAATAAAAAAGTAAATGCATCTAAAATAAAAAAATCACATGACTTCCTCAATTACCTACACCATAAGGCCAAGCCCTAGCACCTCTACTCTTCATGGAAGTCATGAGGGTACCAAATGCCAAAATAATTGCAAGCAACCCGTTTGTATATAGCCAATGAAATTGGTACTCCTCTATTCTTTCATTTTCTCCTTTTGGTACATGGAACTCACTAATAACTCCCTAAAATAAATTATCCAACATTTATGGATAAAAAATAACATATATATTATTAGTCAAAACATTAACAAGTGCATCTGCATATACCTTAATAGCCTCTTGCATAAAGAGCACTGAAATCAACATGCCAAAAAGTTCACCAGCAACCCTTGTGAATCTTGTGATGAGTGTGCAAGCATTGAGTATAGCAAGAACACACAACATCACAGCAGTCCAGACACAAACCCTAAAAACAAGAAGAATATGTATATTATCATATGCTTGATAGGAAAGAATAAGATAACACATGATAATTATACTTGAGACATTTCTAGAAGGTTCTATAATACCATCCAGCCCAAGCTAGAAACAGTTTCTTCCCCAATTCTGGTCTTTCTTTAGCAAAAGCATACAAGTAATTGTACATTATAACAGTAGGTTCAGCAACGCCTAAAATCAAAAGAGGTTGTCCACCGAATATTGCATGAATAACTCCACATATAGCAGTAGAGGTCAGAGTTTCCACTGCACTCAAGGTATCATCTGTCCTCAAAACATATAACTTTTTAAGCCAAATAAGCATAATGATTTGTGAATTACACATATTGTATCTATCTGTACCTGTCTCTTTATTCAGCTGCTCACCGAATGCAATGACTGGAAGGGTGGAGGCAAAGAAGATGTATGCTGTTGGAGCTAATATTCTAAAATAAATATATGATTATTAGTATCACTGAACTAAATAGTTAACTTTTCAATATAGGTTATAATTTATAGCTAAATGATATATAATTATATATACCTTGCACCTGAATCTAAAGCCCTGACCCAATCTTGCTTGTAACACTGCAATCTTCCTCGAAGATCTTTCTTAATCCCACTTAAGGGAGTTTTAGGGGTATCCATTGCAGATACGATCAAGCAACTCTACCACTAAAAAATGAGAAGAAGAAATAAATTATCTAGAGCTTAGGTTTGCCTATCTTTTCATTAGAATAACCAGAAATCGTTGATGTAGTTTGTTAATTAGTCAGGTTAATATTACAAGAAGAAATTAAATGTTTTTTACGTGTAAAAAGTTAAAGAAAAGTATAATTTTAGATCAATTGAAACTCTGCTAGTATCTGTGGTGCTATAATAGAAACAAATAAAAAACACTTTGGAGAAACTGAAGATTGCAATTCATTATGCATGAAGATGAAGATGCTTTCACTCCTATTTCTCAACCACCAATGTCATGATATTTAACAATCTTAATATGCTGAAAACATTCGATACACTTGAAGATGTCCTGATTCAGACAAATAAAAATACACAAATGATGAAAACCCACCAAGTTATGCTAAAACAATATCCTTTAGATAGAAAATGCAAGGGGAAAAAGGAAGATTTAATGGAGATAGAGTTCCTGTTTAAAAAAAATATTGTCACATCACACTCCCGATCTTCCCCCAAGTTTTCTACGAAAAAGAGAATCCTGAAGGAAATCGGTTTGGATTCTCTGTTACTTTATTTCTGAAATCGGTGCATGTCCATGGTTTCCTCTGCAAAAACTAATAGGAGAAATACATTTGTATACATTGTAGAACACACTAGAGCAATGCAGACAACTATAGAGATTTTGAAAAAGGGCACTCATAATTTGATTTTGAAAAATAAAACCTAAATATTCCTTAAATTCAAAATTTACGTAACGGAATTAATTCGTGATAAAAAGAAAGAGATATATGAGGCATTGTACGTAACAATAACAAAGTAGGACGATTACCGGGGATAGATGAAGATCCAGGAAAGAAATAAGCGTTCCCGCATGCGAATGGCCGGAGGAGACGATTATAGAAGAGATTAGAGATGATTACCTCTTGCACAAAGTTGTTCAATTATTTCTGTATACTTTTTTTATTTACATTTAGATGAATCGTTCAATCGTTTCCATCTTGCTCCTCCATTTTCATTTGATTCTAGAGAGTTAGAGAAAAAGAAGATAGATAGCTGCCGAGGACGGTGGTTGTGTGTAATGTTGAGCGACGGAACCGTCGTTGTGCGGCAATGTGGCATGCAGACCCGTTGGATCCTGTAGCGGCTTTGCTTAAAATAAATTTACAATAAATAAAATAGTTAATGCATTATGCATGACAACTAATAACAACCGTTTTCGGATCATTTAACTTTTGATCTTACTCTATAGACCAATAACCAAATTTTAGGTTATGGTTACGTTATTAGAGTGAATTTTAACGGGAAAAACTAGTACCACATTCTATATGTCAGTGTTACCCATTGTGACATTCAGTATGAGAGATTTCGTTCACTTATGTCTATTTGACACCGGCATTACAACCAATTCGGATAAGAGTGGTTCCGAAACAAGAACCGAAAAAACCAAAAATAAAAAATGGAAATTCAAGGAACGGAGAACCGAACCAAATACCCCTATGTGGTTCCAATCGGTTTCGGTTCCGGTTCGTTCTATGTTTAATTTTCTTTGTATTGGGATGAGATCAATTTTGGATCAAGGTCGAAACGACCCGGAACTGAAACCGAAAAAGGGAAATTCAAGGAACCGGAAACCGAATACTCCTATGTGGTTTCAAGCGGTTTTGGTCGGGTTCGTACATCCCTAACGTCTATTTGTTTGGCCTCCAATGGCTTCCATTAACAACATATAAGTATATAATGACCACTAGATGTATAAGTTGAGTTGTGTACCCTTATTGGGGGTATTTTGGTCAATATGTAACTTTTGATCATATCTATAGGTGAATCTTGAAAATCTTGGAGCATAAGAAGCAATGTTGACTAGTTAAGAAAGCAACTCATGTGAGTTTACCGGAAGTACAAGTCCTATATTGATTTCTTATTTTAAGATGTTTTCTATGCTACTATATGTTTTCTATGCTTTGAGGAAGGGTTGTTTGGAATCATTTATCATGAAGGAAGGTTTGAATAACGTTAGAAATTGTAGAAAGTTGTGTGAAATGATGAGTAAAAGTTGTATATTTATAGTGGTAAAAGAGCCCCGGAAAAAGATAAGGGAGAAAGAGGCGGGAGTTCACACCACACCACATGGCCCAAGAATGCAATGGACAAATCAAAATGTGTTAAATCTTCAAACTTGTTTGACTTCTATTAATCTGCAAATGGGTTAAATACTGAAAGTTGTTTTGAAATGGATATTTGCCCAAACGGCTTGTGAAGTTTTGCATCATAAATTAGATAATCAAAAAATCAAACAACTGATCGCTGATTATGTTTATCAGAATAATGGATTAATCAAACAACTGATCATTTTGTCTATTGTATGTACATCATCAAGGGCTTGATGCGTTGTTTACCTCATATCTAATTGGAAAAAGTGGAGTGTGCCACAATTCATCGGAGAAGACGAACCAGCACTGTGGAGAGATTACTTGGTATGGAAGGGGGGTAAAGATTGATGGAACCCATTTAAAATAATAATATACTAATGACAAATTAAACTACATCAAAAAAACTATTTTTGCAAGTTAAAAGGTTATTAGACTGTACCCACAAAAAACGAGCAGTATTTTCCTCAAAATGTTGTGTTTCACATGATATTTTTATGTTCTATTCAAACATAATAATAACATCAATCCTAGAATTCATCATTAGTGATATGGAATCAACACAAATATTCAGTAATATGCTTCATCTATTCTTATAACCTTGAGCTTGTATTAGCTTTTGGGAACTTCTGCTTGTATAAGTTGATATTCTAGATACAGATATTTTTTGAATTTTCAATATGCTCGGAGTGAACAATTTTTGGGGAAGTTGGGACGATCATCTACCTCTTACAATAACATAACAGCTATCATGCTCTTATATAAAATAGAGTAAAAGTTAGCATAGCATCACTGTTATGGATTTGATAACCACAGCAAAACAGCTAATATGTCATTTGCAATTAATCATTCCTATTGCTTAAAAAGTCACAACAAGAATGTATAAATAGAGTTTTTGGCACTGTAGCACAACGAAGTTTGGTCAGTTTACACATTTAGTCACTCAAGTATTTTTTGTGCACAATAGATCATTTACGTTGCATTTCACCTGTTAATTAGGTGATGGAACCTAAAATTAGCCGGTTACCAAGTTAACCAGACTTAGCTGGCATAGTGATGTGGCAATAAGTAGTCCACCTCATATAGATATTGATATTTTAATTCTTTTTATTTTCTTTAAAATTGAAAAAACAAAAAAGCCCTAGATTGTTCATCCTCTTTCACCCACCTCTGGCTCTTCTTCTTCGCACCTCATTCTCATCTTCTTATGAAACCTAAAAAACCATGGCTTCCACCTCCTTCTCATCCTGTTCTTATGAACCTTAAAAATCATGGCTTCCATTGAAGGTCGTGATATACCCTCCTAGAGAAATCCTAGCCGTGGAAACTCTGAACTGCGCCTTACTCCAAACACGTACTCACGGAACAAACCCCTCACAATCGTCGAACAATATCTGAGCCACAACTGTAATTTTCTAGGGCGGAAATTGAGAACCCAAGTTCTGATCATCGGTTATTATGGATGTTCTCATCAAAGACGAGGTAGTACACGTTGAGACCCTGGACGGTGCTGTCTCTTCATCTCCGTCGTCCTTTAAGGCCTCACATCACCTCCGATTTCGTATCAAAAATGGGTTCTGATTTTGCTTATACCTTCCAATCATAAAACCTTATTTTTCCATTGGATTTACCAGGTGAAGCAAATTTCAATTTCGGTATGGCAGTTGGAATCGCAGGGGATGTTTCTCGTGAAACCCTATAAAAAGTGCTTGATATTTGTGACGTTTTTCTCTTGGACATACAAGCCCTAATTATATATTCCAATGAAATCGACAGAAGTGTGAAGCAAATCCACCTAAAAGAATCAAGTTTTTCTCACTTACTTCCTCGAATCGTGTTCTTTTGTTCTTCTGGGATTATGAGAACGCCAAATATTGGGTTTGAACTTCTGGGTTTGTGATGAACAGTCTTCTTCAACTCAGATTACTATTAACTTTTATGGTTTTTGGTTCTTTTGTTCATTAACTTCTGGGTGGTGATATGTAGATGTGAGTTTGGAACGGGTACATGGAAGTTAAGAACAAAGGAGTGTCTGGTGAGTTTGCACCCATAAATGGATCTATCCTCTTTTCTTGATGTTTTTACAGTCTGGTGGTAGAAGGAGATGGAAGGTGGTTGTCATGGTGATGATAGGAGTGGAGTGGATGATCGTTGTGATGGTGGGGGTAGGGTGGTTGATGGTGGTGGTGATTGGTGAGAGGTTGTGGTTGCGGCAACTATCTTGGCAACATTTACCCTGGATGGTGGTGGTAGGAGGTGGATTGTGGCGGTATTGGTGAAAGAAGATCAAATTATATATAAATCAAATGGTTTTCCACCATGGATATTATGTGGCCCTTAAACAATGTATAAAAATCTAGTTTAAACTGCCAAATCACTAAAGTCACCTGCTTTTCCGGTATATGGTCTTATAATGATGTAATTGACAGGTAAAAAATAACTTTAATGGTTTGTTATGCAAAAAAATAACTTGAGTGACTAAATGTGTAAATTGACCAAACTTTGTTGTGCTACAGTGCCAAAAACCCGTATAAATATACACATTAACCTAACCTTTACTTGTCAAATCAGCCCACGAAAACATATTTTAGGTGAGAATTACATTCCAAAGATACTTGTATTTTAGGCTTTAGCAAAACACAAATCCTCTTTGTTATCATTGTAGGATCTTCCCGTATAGCCTCATTCTTGCAAACTGATATAATCAAACAAGAATCCATCAAAAAGTTAATTATCATCCGTATATATGGAAAAGATCATCTATACACTGATATGAAGCCTAAAGAAAGTATGTCTATTGGCTTTTGAACTAGAAGAGTTAAAAAGCCTAATTTACAGACAAAAGACAATAATGTCACTAACATAAAAGGAAGAGTAAAAGATACATACCTAAACATCTTGTGATGTTTCATCATTCACATCTTTATTGAAAGCCAACTCAGCAACCAATGCAACATGATCACTTCCCCATCTCTGTCAAGACATAAAATTTATTTTGACATATATATATATATATATATATATATATATATATATATTATATATATATATATATAACATATTATCATAAGAATAAATACAAGTAAAACATACCTTTGTAGGAAATCCAGGAGTCCACTGCATTGCATGTTTTGGTATAGGAGCAAGGATCCTCACAGTCTGGAGACCCTCAGATCGCCTTAATGTAAACAAATATGAGTCAAACCTTGTTTTTTTTATAATTATATATATATATATATATAATATATATATATATATATATATATATATATATATATGAAAGGGAGATAATGAGTCACCAGATGTAATCAACTGTCCCCTGGAAAGTCCTATGGTAGCTAGTCACCTGGGGCTCCCCATTCGAGTCTCTTGTTCCTGAATAATCCTACAATACAAAGTTACAAACACAAATACAAAACACATGAACTCTTAAAATAAATAAATTGGATGCAAACAAGAAGAGAAAGATGGGCACCTCAACTTCTGAATATGTGCTTCTTAATCTCAAAGGATGTTCCATAGTTGTGCATTCTGAACTTCCTGTTGCAGCCTCTATTTCCATTGGGGTCCACCCTGATGGGTCATAACCATAACCAGACTTCTCAGGAGTTCCTCCTGAATCCAGCTCACCCTCAAAGCTCATGTTCACTCCCACAAAGTCAGATCCATCAGCCCCGTGTAACTCAGACAAAAATGAAGTGGAATCCTCACTCACACTTACAGATACATCTTCCATGCCTTCAAATATTTCTTCTGTTGATAATGTCACAGTAGTGTTTCCAGCATTGCCCTCAACTTTTTCATGTTCATGTGTTTTATCAGGAAGCAAACTAGTGGTTTTTTCGTCTTCCTGCTGGACTTCCTTGTTATCAGGAGATTGAGTTGCATTATCAGTTGGCTGAGTTCTACAAAAATATGCAACCTATTTATTTTTAGTCATCATTATATAATTTCTAAATAGATTATGATATGATGATACATACCTGAAAGTATTAGTAAACTGTCTTTTGGGTCGAATTTCACCAGAATCTTGACCTGATATCTTATTTCTAGGAAGTTCAGACACATTTAACTGCATGGAGAGGTAAATTTAGCAAAGAATAACAAATTTAACCAACTTTTAGTATTTGGAACGTTATTTAAATTTTAACCTTTTGATCTGATATGAAGTTGTACAATGAACTCTGAAGTAAAAAAGAGGAAAGAGTTATTGGGATATAAATACAGTCAAAATTTGAGGTTTAGATATGTACAATGGAAGAGTTAAGATACATACCTTAGGGGTAGAGTTAAAATCTCCACAAAGAACAACAGGAGCATTATCCCAAAGTTTTGATGTAGCATAAGCTCTTTCTAGAAGAACCCTAACCTGTTTGTGAAATGTGAAGGAGAAGTAAATTTACAAGGTTCAAAAATCATGACATCTTTGCATAAACAGATATATACCTGTCCAAGCTTAATCTCTCCCCTTTTAGGATTGAAAAGCACATGAATATTACATATGACGACTTTATTAGAGCTGCAGTCACATAAAATGTGTTCAATGTAAGAATAGAAGAATTTATAAAAATAGAAGAATCTGCTAAACATAAACTTACCATGCTGGTGTAGGTGATTCAGTGGAACTTTTTCCATTTAGTG